TTAACCTCATCCTTAGACCTTAGGTCATTTCTAATTTTGTGGCAATAACAAACAGTGCAGTAAAGAACATCACTGTAGGATGATAACTTATTGAAACCACCCTATATGGCCATGCTGTGCATTATTTCATTTAATCATCCAAAGCCTGAGGTAAGTACCCAGTTCGCATGAGTAAATTACACATGAAGAAAACAGTCACAGAGTTGGTAAATAGCAAACAGATGGCCGGGCACCGTGGCTCACACCTGTAATCCCAGCACTTTGGGAGGCGAAGGTGGGCAGATCCCTTGAGGTCAGGGGTTGGAGACCAGGCTGACCAACATGGCAAAACCCCGTATCTACAAAAATAATAATCATAATAAAATTTAGCTGGGTGTGGTGGCACGCACCTCTGTAATCTCCCACCTGTTCCCAGCCTCAGCTAATCAAGGCTGAGGCAGGACAATCTCTTGAACCCGGGAGGCAGAGGTTACAGTGAGATCACACCACTGCACTCCAGCCTAGTCGACAGAGAGAGTCTCAAAAAAAAGAAAAAAGAAAACAGATAGATGTATTTAGTCAGTGTAATACCAGAGTTCATACGCTGTTCTTCCACGCTTTTATTGGATTCTCAAAGAAATTCATGCTCCTGAAAGGGTTAAGAGCCAGGATTTTAGACAGGAAGGAATTAGAGCTATGAGGAACTCTGGGGATCAACTACTATGCTCCGTTACATTGCCATTGCTTGTTGCCTTGGCTATAGTGACCCTGTAATTGATCATCCAAGCCAGGGAACTTGAGAGTGAAAGAGGGGGCATTATGATAATATTTATACTGAGACAGGAGACATACTTGTTCTGGAGAAAGAAACTGAGACACTTGAACATCTTAACCCTAACATGGGCCATCATCACCTTTCACATGGGTTACTACAATAGCCTCCTGTCTGTTCTTGCATTTACTCTTACCCTGTTCCAATCTGTTCTCACGCAGCAACCAAAATGATCTTCCTGAAACAAAAAACTGATTAAATCACTCAATAGTTTTGAAGCCCCTTGCGTGGCTTTGTGAAAGGATGTATTTGTTTGCTCCTCATGTGATTATTGTTAGGATGCAGCGTGGAATAAAATAAAGGGCACTGAAGTTGAGAGTCAAACGACTTGTCTTTGAGTCTCAGATATCTAGATTAGTTTGGTGACCTTGAGCAAGTTACTTAGTTTCTTGAGCTATTTCCTCCAATATAAAATATAGATAGTGTGTGTAGGGGGGTGTGGGCTGAGGTAATAAATATGAAAGGCACAATGTAAATGCGGGACATTGTTAATGGTTAACTTTGTACGTGTTATGTCCTTTGAAAAATTGTCCTTGTGTCTATTAGTGTTATGCCCTTTGAAAAATTGTTCTTGTGTCTCACAGTGTCTATCAGGGTTTGATAGGAATTTTACAAGCTGAACCACCTTTCTCGTCACTATCCAAGTTTCACACAACTTAAAAACCTTAGTCATTTTTTTAAAAATCAAAGTTTGTAAAAGTTTGCTGAAAGTAAAAGATACCAAGTTGGCACTAAAACCTAGCACCCTAACCTTGGCATTATAGTCTGGTGATCTACTAGCTCAGCTGCCCTCCCGGAATAATTAAACAGGTTATATGTTTACAAAAATCATATAAGCGTTTTATCTGTGCTTATAATATGAAGGTATAGCTCATCTTTCATGAATTGAGAACAATTTAGAAAAACATATCCATATAGTTTACTGACTTAATCATGGCCTTTGGTTTACAAATAATGGCTTGCAAAAAGTGAATTTATTAGGTTACATAATTAGCTGGGAGGAATATTGGAGTAGCTCTCAGAATTGAAGGGCCAGGGCTTCAGAGACTAGAACTGGAACACAAGGTAGTTAGAACCACCTTTATTTTTGACAGTCCTAGGGTGACATCTTTGTAGCTGGAGAACAAAGGAGGATGGGCTATAACTCTATCTCTGGAAGATTCAAGAGGGCTTCATTTGGCCTAGCCTGTATCTCATGACTACTACTCCTGTGGTAGCATTAGATTGAGCCATATTAACTCACTCCCTCCCTCCCTCTCTCCCTCCCTCCCTCCCTCCCTCCCTCCCTCCCTCCCTTCCTTCCTTCCTTCCTTCTTTCCTTCCTTCCTTCCTTCCTTCCTTCCTTCCTTCCGTTTCTGCCTCCCTTCCTTCCTACCTACCTCCCTTTCTCCTTCTTTCCTTTCCTCCCTCCCTCCCTTCCGTTTTTTCTTTTCTTTTCATTTTTTCTCTTTTCTTTTCTCTTTTCTGTTTTCTCCTCTTTCTGACAGGGTCTTCCTCTTGTCACCCAGGTTTAAGTGCAGTGGTGTGATTAAAGCTCACTGAATCCTTGACTTAAACACATACTTGACTGGGTTTAAGTGATCCTCCCACTTCACTTTCCCGAGTAGCTGGGACTACAAACATGGCCACCATGCCCAGCTAATTTTTTCTGTTTTGGTAGACATGGATTTTCACTGTGTTGCCCAGGCTGGTCTCGAACTCCTGGGCTCAAGCGATCTGCTCACCTTGGCCTCCCTAAGTGCTAGAATTACAGTCGTGAGCTGCCGTGCCCAGCTGAAATTTCTAATAGTAATATTTATACAACTGAAAAGGCCATTTTATATGGTTCAGTCTCATAGTATAGAGGGCAGAGGGGAAAGTGAGGCATCATAGATTGACAGCCCTACTAGGAGCAAGAAATATGGTGGAGTTTCACAAAAGACAAGAGGGACTATTCTTTCTGTCAGAAGAAGGAGAATAGGAAAGCATTCTGGGTAGAAAGAACAGTGACCGTAGTCTAACATACTTACAAAGAATATAGATAAGCTAGAATTCAGCTAGACCACTGTGGACATGAAAAATACTTAAAATATAAAAATTTCTAAGGTGAGAGACTGAATTGTTCTTATTCCTTAAGCATCTCGGAGTTGGACATATCTGCCTTTAAGTAACAAATGTGCTCAAAGCTTTCAAATTCTAACTTTTGTGCTTTGTACATATCCTAGGCGCACCCTCCTTATAACAATCTTATTTAAAGATGAAGAAATTAATACTCAAAGAACTAAAATAACTTGCCTAAGATTATGTAACTAGTTAATATGGAATCAGAATTTGAAGTCTAAATTAAAGATGAAACCCAGTTTTCCTTCAAAATCAGTACTTCTCGAAGATAAGATTGTCAGTGAAATACTAGTAAAGACAGAAGAGAGTACATATGTATGCATAGGAGGTCTGGTGCTGTATATGATCTTAAATATGAAATATGAATATTGTTTACTGTTCCATAATGTAATGGTGATAGCTTTGGTTTTTAAATGTTGTGGTGGTGATTTTAACTCAAACTTTGAATTAAATTGTTAAGTTCCATAGCATACTATCTCAGTATGAGAAAAAAACAATACATTCTGCGTTATCGTCTGAATGAGTGAAACATCATTTAAATGATCTCAGTCTGGTCCAAACAACTCTTACATTAGAAACTAAAACGTCCCTCAGTGTAAGCCAAGGGTGTTTTTAACACTTAGTTATTTCCCTGAATTTTCCTGCTTATACTGAATGAAGCAATAGCGATTAATGTTTCTTTTTTCTTTTTTTTTTTGAGACGGGGTCTTGCTGTTTTGCCAGGCTGGAGTGCAGTGGCGTGATCTCGGCTCACTGCAGCCTCTGCCTCCCGGGTTCAAGTGATTCTCCTGCCTCAGCCTCCCGAGTAACTGGGACTACAGGCTCATGCCACCATGCCCGGCTAATTTTTTGTATTTTAGTAGAGATGGGGTTTCACCTTGTTGGCCCAGATGGTCTCAATCTCCTGACCTCGTAATCTGCCCGCCTGGGCCTCCCAAAGTGGTGGGATTACAGGCGTAAGCCACCGCACCCAGCCAGCGATTGATGTTTCTATATGTTTAGATTCTGATTGACCCAACAAATACAGTAGTATAAAGTTACGTATTGCTGTGGTATAGCTAAGCCTTATTTGAATAGTCTTTCTCTTGTTGCTGTTACATAACCTAAGGCAAATATTAAGTATGTACTTCATAAAAACCTTTTTTTAAGAGAGGTCGTGGTGTTAGGTGGAGAGAAGGAGCAGCGAAAAGTCTTTTGTTAATTACATAGCAATACTGACTTCTGTGGGGTGTGGGAGAGTATAATAGTACAGTAAAGAGTAAAGTAGTAAAGAATGCTTCTTCATCGTTGTTGGTTAAAGTGATAGACTCCCTATCTGATACATAAAGCCAAACAGAAGTGATTTATATGCCTTTTCTGTTTTCATAGAGAACTGTGATGATAATGTTGTAATTAAGAAAGGTTGGATAGTTTGCTGTCTTGCAAGTTTCCTGATGTCTACAAGATGATGTAGTTAGGGAGCATTTTCCTGAGAAAACCAATTAAGATGATGTTATAAAAATAGGGGGAATTTGACCTTGGGGAAGATTTTCACCATTTTAATTATTTGTCAAATTTATTAACTTATTTTAAATTAAGATAGCTATGAAAATCTTTATGGAAGGTTCATATGTGTCAACATGATGGGATGTTATGGGTTTTTTGTTTTGAAATTTTCTCATCTTTTTTTTTTTTTTCTTTTTTTCTTTTTTTTTTTTTTTTGAGACAGAGTCTTGCTGTGTTGCCCAGACAAGAGTGCAGTGGCGCAATCTGGGCTCACTGCAACCTCCGCCTCCAGGGTTCACGTGATTCTCGTGCCTCAGCCTCCCACATAGCTGGGATTACAGAAGTGCACCATCATGCCCGGCTAATTTTTTGTATTGTTAGCAGAGACGAGGTTTCACCATGTTGGCCAGGCTGGTCTCCAACTCCTGACCTCAAGTGATCTGCCCGCCTTGGCCCCTCAAAGTGCTGGAATTACAGGCACGAGCCACTTCACCTAGCCAGAGTTCTTCTCATCTTTTGTAAGTCTTATCTGGGATAGTTTTTCTTATCAGAAATTATTTCTCAAGCAGTTTACTTTGATAATATTCCATATTTTATTTTATAGATGATAGTATTTCTGCTGCAAGTACTTCTGATGTTCAAGATCGCCTGTCAGCTCTTGAGTCACGAGTTCAGCAACAAGAAGACGAAATCACTGTGCTGAAGGCAGCTTTGGCTGATGTTTTGAGGCGTCTTGCAATCTCTGAAGATCATGTGGCCTCAGTGAAAAAATCAGTCTCAAGTAAAGGTAATTGTGTTGTAAAGTTAAGAAGAGTCTTGCTTTTTGCAGTATTTTCTTTGAAAGTTGAAGTTGGAAATATAAAACTAGTTTTTTATGTTAATTACGTGTGATTATGGTTTGTTTTCCATTTCCTTTTTTTTAATTCCCAAAAAGTTGTGAAAGTTTATTCTTTATTATTTAAAATAAAGAATTTTTGCGTAATCCACTGATTATACTTACAGGTTTTTTATGTTACAGTATTTGTGTTAAGTTAGTGTCTTCTAACTAGTTGATAAGTTTACTGAGGGCAGGAGCTGAATCATTATTTTGTGTCTCATTTCATATTGAACCTAACTGGTAGGCACTCATGTGTTTTTAAAATTAATTCTGTTGTCAATACAGAAACATAATTAAAATCATTATAGTTTAAATAGCTTTATTCTGAACCCTCTGTGGTAGTCAGCAGAATCCTGAAAAAATTAATTTAAGCTTTGACACTTACTAGCCCAGTATAATGGGACTTTTAACTTTTCAGTATTGGGAGTTTTCAAGGTTGAGAGAAACAGTCATCAAGACCCTGTTGCTCTGAGTTTGGAGCAGATGTAGTGTACCTTTTGCCTTCCTTCAACCACCAAGAAAGAATTTTATCATTCTTTCACATAAATCAAGTATTTGAACATATCATTTGATGTCTCTTGCTGATTTATTGGTAGAGTAGATGGGAATTGGCATTATTATGCCCATTTTGGCCAAGGGAAAAGTGAGAACATTTATCGGCTTGCCTTCCTACTTCAATAAGTCCATGTAAATTATTAACCTAGGGAGGAGTTTTATGTAACTCCCAAATTCTAGCCGAATAGGAGATAGTGCAGTCAGCCCACCAGCAAATGAGAAGCAGATTTAGAAGAAAGATTGTGAATTCAGTTTCTGAATGTTGTTTGGGGTGTGTATGGTATGTAGAGATACATATTGGTAGCTGAATTACATATGGATCTAGTGCTCATGTTAGTCTTGGCTAGCAACAAGAATTTGGGAATGTTCCTCTTATGGATGATAGTTGAAGCCATAGAGGAAGTAAAATGAGAAGGCAGTTCGGGATAGTTCCATTGGGAGCTCCAACATTTCAGCATAGCACAAAAAGTGATGCGCATTGCCAGCTGCTACAGAGATGTCAGATAAAACAAAGACTGAGAGATGACCTTTGGACTTGGCATTTACAGCAATATTAGAAACCTCTCCAAAAGCAATTTTAGTGGAGTAATAGAACTGCAAATCAAATACCAGTATTTTGAGAAGCAGCAATTTAGGAGAATTGTAGAATTGAGAGCAACAAATATAGCCGCTCTCAAAAAATTCACCTGAATGGAGGAAGGTAGTAATAACTAGGAGAGGATGCTATATTGAAGGCCAATTTTAATTACTTTTAAAAATTTGTTAAAAATACATGATAGACTTGAGTGCAAAGATAGGTTGAGGACAAAAAGGCAGCAGAGAGGAAGACCAATATGGAGAAATAAAGTAATTGATGAGGCAAGTATCCTGAGAATTTGAGAAGGGATCTTAGAGCAGGTGAGAAGCTATTAGTCTTAAACAGAAGAGTACTACTTCTAAGATAGAATGAACAGATACAACTGAGTGGAGGTTGATATATATTCACAGTTGTCAGGGTTGGAAGTTTTAGTCCTTATCACTGTCTCCTGAGAACTACAACTTCTATATCTGATAACTGTGAATATACATTGAGACACTGATAACCTTTAGGCAGAAAGATAGGTCATCAGTGGTAGAAAAAAAGGGAATACATGTTTGGAGTGGTTAAAGCTGAGAATGGAAGACCGTAGACTTTTGAAAGGATGCTGAAAGACCCTGAGGGTGTGGAGACAGGAAACTTATTGTGGAGGAAAGGTGAGTATCATTCTGCCCAGTTTTGTGATTCCCACTCTTTTCCCTCTCAGCCTCATGTACTCTGGGTCTGTGTATTTACAGTGGAGAGTTAGGTGGAAGATAGGATTGATCTTTTTCATTAGTGGTAGTAAGATAAATATGTCAATGACAAAGGGTAAGGGACCTGAGGGTTTGGCAAAAGACTTGATGGAAACCACTTTGACTGATTGTGTTAAATTATGCTTGCTTGCTTGCTTGATTTGTTTACTTTTTAGAGACCCAACTTTGAGGACCGCCAAGATCAAGCCAGAAAAAAGTTTTGTTTGGTTATAAATTGATTTTTATAGGGGGATTTTGGAATTTTAGAGTAGAATAAGGAGCTAGATCAGTTAATGTATATGGGCTTTATAGGGAATATCAGCTTTGTGTAGAGAGGGAAGAACAAGTTTCCTGTATATAATATACAGACTCAGAACCCCAGGGGTACATATAAGTATTTTAAAACCTATAATACGGGAGGCTGAGGCAGGAGAATGGCGTGAACCCGGGAGGCGAAGCTTGCAGTGAGCTGAGATTGCGCCACTGCACTCCAGCCTGGGTGACAGAGCGAGACTCCGTCTCAAAAAAAAAAAAAAAAAAAAAATTAAAACCTATAATAGAAAATGATAATGATGTTTGATTGCTATTCACATTTTTAAAAGCTTATTTTAAGTAGTTTAGATTTTTTTTTTTTTACTTTTTTAAGAGACACAGTCTTACTCTGTCACCCAGGCTCACTGTAACCTCAAACTCCTGGGCACAAGTGATCCTCCTTCCTCAGCCTCTGGAGTAGCTAGGACTACAGGTGTACACCACCACACCCTGCTAAAATCTTTTCTTTTTTTGTACAGGTGGAATCTCGCTATGTTGCCCAGGCTGGTCTCAAACTCCTGGGCTCAAGTAATCTGCCTTGGTCTCCAAAGTCTTTTTAATATGCTGAAACAACAGTACGTTATAATTTTATGTAAATTGAGAAAAATTTTAAAGATATTTTCTCTCATATTGTATCTACTAAGATATTTCAGTAAAGAAAATTCTGAAATATTTTAAAGAAATTTAAAAATTGCTTTTTTTCCAGCGTATACACAAATATTTTATATGACACATGAGTTATTTAGCACCTACTTCTCAATGTCATGAAATATAAATACAGTTAACTAGCTATAATTCCTATTCCCCAGGAACTTACTTTTTGTAAGTTGTCGTTTCTGGTGCTTTTCTAATTATCCTTAGTTATAATTCCTGTGTCTCTAAAGTGAGTCTAGGATCAGTTTTGTTAATGGCTCTTTAGTGAAGGATTACCTACTTCTGGAGCCACAGAACCATCTCTGTGGGACTTTTTCTTTTCACATAACACTAACTCTTAATTCTTTTTAATAACCTTATTAATTACAGAGAGTTTTTTTTCCAGTTGATTTTAAAATTATACTTCGTAATTAACTTTGACTGCTATTTTATAATATGCTAAGGTGGTTCACTCTTTGAGTTACTCTGTTGCCTGGGACACAGGCAAGTCTATGAAATGGATTGATGGGGGTATTGATTAATAATTTGAGAAAATAATTATTTCATAGATGAGAATAATTCATGTTAATAATTATTATATTTCCCTTTAATGGAAAAATACGTCCAACTAATTATGTTTCCAATATTGATATTAAGACATTGAGAGAAATACATATGTAAAGTTTCATAATGTTATTGGCAACTCTGAACAGCTTTATCTTGGAGTTTATATATAGCATATTGTTGAAAGCAATTGGAATTTAAGTGACTCTTCACTATTGACATTTGTGTACAGCCTAAAATAGATCATCTCAGTTTTGATATTAAACAAGATTAATAAATTAGTGGTAAGAAAATTTGGAATAAATATTTTAAGCAAAGTATTTTCAAATAAGTGAAGTTTTTCATAACATTAAAAATGAAATTATCTTGTAGGGATTTGTATTTTTTCTTTAAAAAGTAAAGTCATTTTTTATATTATAGACAGTTTTATATGTGATTTTTTTTTTAGCCCCTTGTGAAATTAGAATTTATAGTATTGAATATCACATAAATTATTGACAGGAAAATGATCATTATCATCTTAAGGTGTTTACATTTTCTAGAGGATTTTTCTTTAGAGGTCAAATTAAATTCCTATGGATAAATAGGATAGAACCCTTTTATGAAGCTGTGATTCAAAGGACAGGTCAACTTCCCTATTACTGAAGACAGCTGTTGTATGATTTTTGCTAGATGGTGGTGATATGGGAAGGACATAAGTTGTCATCAGATATGACCAAAAGTAAATGTTAATGATGTGTGTGCTAAGGGCTTAATGAAATTCTGCTATGTTGCTTCATAGTAGTATTGCCATTCAGTAAATACCAAAATCAGAAACACACCTAACCTTTAAATATATTTCGTTGTCTTAGTTTATCTTCTGCAGTGTGCCAGCAGTATTTAAAGCTAAGACCCATTTTTTTCTTGAGTAAATTACGCAGGGTACTTGACTGAGGTAGAAAATTTTCCCATGAGTTTTTAAGGTGGCCGGTCACTTAAATTTTTCATATACTTTCTCCTCTGTCAGAGAATTCTTTCCTTTTGACAGCATGTGTTCGTAATATATGCACCAGTTGCAGCTGAATCCTTGCCAAAAGAAAAAAAAAATTACCTGTACTTCGGAGCAAAAGGGAAGGTCCAGAGAACACTGGAAGTTTTAGCTGCCAAGAAGACAAATTATGTCACAGCTGGTGCCTGGGAAACTCATTAGGACCTCTTGAGGTGACCAAATGAATGTAATTTGAGAACACAGCCCAGTGGCACTATGTGAAGACAAGCTGTTAGTACACAATGATACAGAAGTTAAAAAGTTAAATTTATCTGAAGGTGGCAGTCAGTCATTTAAATCAGGAAACTGCTGGTTAAGCCAAAGTACAAAGCATTGTAATTGCCACTTGAGAAATGAAAGAACCCAAAGGCAAAATTGAAATGTAGGGGTAGATTCTCCAATAGAAACATTGCTAATTATGTAAAATCTGGGATACTCTAAAGGCACAGATCTGTATCATTCAGCTCCTGGCCCAAATAACATTTGGGAGGATTCAGGGATTATCATA